GTCGTCACTACAGCTAATGCATCCTCACGTCGAAGCGTCAAATTTGCTACGAAACCGCAAACTAAAGAAATACTCAACGCATGTGACATTAGAGCAATGTTTGAACTCGACTTTTGCGAGAGAGAGCAAACGAGCGTCTCACTCTCTCAGGARGATAGGAAGTTCCTTAATATCGTCGAAAACGGCATTAACTACCTTCCCGATGGTCACTATGAAATGCCGTTACCTACCAAGGATGATAAGTTCGTACTGCCAAATAACCGTTCGATGGCCTACGTTCGCTTGAAGTCCCTCAAGAAACGATTCGCAGCTGATGAGTTATACCGCTCACGCTACATAGAATTCATGAATTCCATGCTAGATAAGGGCTACGCTGAGTTAGCACCTGAAACCAACGAAAGCAACTCGCAGAAAGTGTGGTATATTCCCCACCATGGAGTATACCACCCAAAGAAGCCTGACAAACTCAGGGTAGTTTTCGATTGCTCGGCTTGCTATGAAGGAGAGTCACTGAACAACCACCTGCTGCAAGGGCCTGATCTGACGAACAGCTTGACGRGTGTCCTATACAGATTTCGACAAGAAACCGTTGCAATAATGTGCGACATCGAAGCAATGTTCTATCAAGTAAAGGTCCCAGAGAGTTGCAGAGATCTGCTGCGGTTCTTGTGGTGGGAGAATGGCGATACTTCTCGTGAGCCTAAGGAGTATCGGATGACAGTGCACCTGTTCGGCGCGACCTCGTCACCAGGTTGTGCGAACTTTGCCCTCAAGACCACAGCTGATGACAACGAAGGCAGCCTCGGAACAGAAGCAGCAGAGTTCGTGCGCCGTAACTTCTACGTTGATGACGGCTTGAAATCGGTACCATCAGTAGACAAAGCGTTTGAACTCGTGAGCGACGTAAAGGAGATGTGCAAACGCGGTGGATTCAACCTTCACAAGTTCACATCGAATAGCAAAGCCTTGCTTGAAAAAATCCCTGAGTCTGACAGAGCAAAAGATGTGAAGGACTTAGAGCTGAATCAAAAAACGATGGAACGTGCACTTGGGGTGCAGTGGTGTACAAAATCAGACGCATTCAAGTTCGTAATCTCCTTGAAAGATCGTCCATCCACAAGGCGCGGCATCCTCTCTACAGTGAGTTCCATTTACGATCCTCTAGGCTTYCTCGCCCCAGTTGTGTTAGAAGGCAAGTCGCTACTACAAGACCTATGCCGTCTCGACATCGGTTGGGATGATCCAATTCCTGACGACATGGTCGATAGATGGCGTAAATGGAGATCTCAACTTCCACATCTGGAAAGTTTTACAATACCACGCTGCTACAAACCAGAAGACTTCGGTGAAGTAATCAAGGCAGAACTGCACCACTTCTCCGATGCAAGCTTCAAAGGCTACAGTCAGTGCAGCTACCTCAGACTAGTCAACAACTCTGGTAGAGTCCATTGTTCTTTCTTGGCGGGAAAGGCACGAGTCACCCCCTTAAAGAAGTTAACGGTCCCTCGTCTAGAGCTGACCGCAGCTGTCGTATCGGTTCGTGTGAGTGAACAGTTAAGGCGCGAGCTAGACATCGAAATAACAAAGGAAGTTTTCTGGACCGATAGTAAAGTTGTTCTCGGTTACATTGCAAATGCAGTCAGACGGTTTCATATATTCGTAGCTAACCGTGTGCAAGAAATCCAAGACAAGTCCTCGGTGGACCAATGGATGTACGTCGACACCAAGAATAACCCAGCAGATGAAGGGTCTAGAGGCCTACGTGCAGATCAGCTCAAAGATTCGAAATGGTTGTCAGGACCAGCCTTTCTGTGGAAAACTGATGAAGAGCAAGAAGCACCAACCTCACAACCATATGATCTACAAGAAAATGATCCAGAGATCAAGAAATCAGCAAGCGTAGCAACCACGTCAACAGAACYAGCAAAGTCAGTAACTACTCTCGAAGATGATGCTCAACGCCATTCCAGCTGGTTTCGTGTTAAGCGAGTAATGGCCCTGTGCATAAAGTTTATTCAAAGGCTCCGCAACGCAGTGAAAGGGAGACAATCGGACATAAAGCCTACTGAGGTGAATGTCAGTGACCTAGAGGTGACAGAAATCCAGATTATAAAGGCAGTTCAAGCAAACCATTTCAACGATGAAATAACACAACTGAAATCAAGTAAAGATGCTCAAGATTCAAAACAATCAAACTCGCAAGGCCCACTTCGCAAGCTAGACCCGTTTATCGACTCTCATGGATTGCTGCGTGTCGGAGGACGCCTCCGACATTCAAGTCTAACAGACAAGGTTAAATTTCCAGTCATTCTTCCTGGTCGAAGCCACGTGACCACACTAATCGTACGTCATTTCCATAACCAAGTCAAGCATCAGGGTCGCARCCTTACTCTGAGCGAGATCCGTGCAAATGGATACTGGGTAGTTGGTGGCTCAAGAGTTGTTGCTACCGCAATCGAAAACTGCGTAATGTGCAACAGACTCCGAGCTAAAGTACAAGAGCAAAAGATGGCCGATCTTCCCGAAGATCGTCTAGAGCCAGCACCACCATTCACCAACTGTGCTGTGGACTATTTCGGTCCCTTTATCATCAAGGAAAAGCGCAAAGAAATGAAAAGATACGGCGTTCTATTCACGTGTCTTGCATCCAGAGCAGTCCACCTTGAAGTAGCTAACACCCTGGAAACCGATTCCTTTATCAATGCTTTCCGACGATTCGTAAGCCGTAGAGGTCCAGTCAGAATGCTGAGATGCGACCAAGGAACTAACTTCGTGGGAGCACGACGCGAACTCGCAGCAGCCCTAGCAGAAATGGACCAGTCAAAGGTCAAAGAGCAGCTCATGAAGAACAACTGCGACTGGTTCACCTTCAAGATGAACGTCCCTGCAGCAAGCCACATGGGCGGTGTATGGGAGCGGCAGATACGGACGGTTCGCAACGTGTTATCAGCCATCCTACAAGCCAACAGTGAGCAACTGAATGACGAGTCACTTCGGACTTTCATGTGYGAGGTRGAAGCGATTGTTAATTGTCGACCATTAACAGTGGACAATTTGAATGATCCAGACTCCCTCGAGCCCTTATCGCCAAGCCAACTACTGACCATGAAGACCAAAGTACTCATGGCCCCACCTGGTGTGTATCAGCCTGCAGATCAGTATTCAAGAAAGTGGTGGAGGCGTGTCCAGCACCTGGCCAACGAGTTCTGGAGTAGGTGGAGAAAAGAATTTCTCCTCTCACTCCAAACACGTCAAAAATGGACAAGGCCCCGTCGCGAAATGCAAGTTAACGACATCGTCATCATCAAAGACGAAAACCTGCCCCGCAGTTYATGGTTACTAGGTCGTGTTATGTGCGTTAACCGGAGTCATGACGGACGAGTACGCTCAGCAAAGGTGTCCCTCGCTGAAAGGGATCGTGACAGCAAAGGAAAGCGGATCAGCCAACCTCGATGCTTGGAACGTCCTGTCCAGAAACTGGTAGTTCTCCTTAAACAAGACTGTAACTAGAACGCTGAGACCGGGTAATTCCCCGTCGAGGAGCCATACGATAAGTACCCGTAGATAGTTTAGTCAGAACGTTATGAACAATGAACATTGCATGTCCCTATTGTGAAATGTAAACATTTCAGGGGAGCCATGTAAAGGAAGGCTTATCAGCCCCGCCCACGAACACTTTATTTTTGTATCTATTATTAGTTACGTCATATCCTTAACGTTTCACTTAGTTACAA